CCTGGACCTTTTTTTTACCAAGGTGAATACCGGTTTAGCAATAGGGACCCTTTACACTCGTCGGTTAACGTTCATCTATCGCTAACGGAACTTCCTCGTACCGCTTTGCCTTGGGAGTATTTGTCTAGACTACCAGGCGCTGTGTGGGTGCTGACGGGGCTCGAGAATGAGTTCTAAGGCAGAACGGGTCAAGTGAGTCCTGTTAACGATCGGCGAACGTTCGCCAAAGAGGGTCAATATTCTTGATTTAAACCGGCAACACAACGAGCCCGTGGCTCAATGGTTATAGCGTTAGACTTCTGATCAGTAAGTCGTGGCTTCGAGCCTCGGGGGTGCACCACCCGGAGTTGGGTACGACTGGCTGGTGACGGCTAACAAATCTATAATTACCATTCTAGTCTCTCTTGTTTTCTCCTGCAAATTCCATCGGCCTACACTACTAGCCGCCATGCGGCTGTTGGCAGAGCTCAAGAGTGAGCACCAATGTAATACTGTTAATATTCCCGATCGAAATCGGCAGGGTAACGAGCCCGTGGCTCACAGCGTTGGACGTCTAGCCAACAAGTCACCGGTTCGAGCCTTGGGTGCCACAACACCCAGGGTTGGATGTGACTGGCTGGTGAAGGTTAATGAGCCTGAACTGGCCATTACAGCCTTCCCTCTCTTTGTCGGTAATGTCAGTTTGTCGGCGGTAGAGGTAAGTAAAATATTGAAGCAGAAAGAGAGCAACGAGCAGAAAAAAAGGAAACCAAAATCGTCAGAAAATGTTTGGGTGTCTGGCTAACATTTGGCTGCCAAATTAGCGGAGTCTCAACAAAAACAACAACCAAAAATATGCACAAAAATGCAAACACAGTGTTCATGCCCAGACTAGGCTGGTTTGATTTTTGATGATATGCAGCAGGACAACAGGCGTCGGAGTGGAAAACACACACACAGCATGACTGACACGATTCAAGTCCTCACTGTCATCCGATACGACCAAGCATGTGGTGACGACGCATGAGTTTATAGGGCTGGCTCTGCTCTCTCTGTGTCACGGTCGAATACATAATGCGAGTCAGACAACAGAGTGTATTACAAATGCCGGTAACTGCCGCTTTAGTTTGAGTAGTTCGACTGGCATCATTAACGCACATTTGCGCAAGCATTTATACTACGTAAGAAGGCATTCTTTCTAGCGTCAAATTAGGCAGAAGACAGACGTCATGCTAACAAGAGTATCACAGTGTCTGCCAGTGAATAGGTTATATTGTATACCTAAAGGTAGTGCACATTTATTGAGGACTTTCAACAGTTACAGTAGATTTTCTATCACAGCAAAGGATAACCGAAATTCTGAAAGGTATTTTCGATTCGAACAAATTACTTCAGTAGGGTTGTAAGACTGATTATCTCACAGCCTTAGCTCAAGATATTTTAGTCACGTCAGGATTCTGGCTTTAGAATGAGCTTCCTTCTGACCGCAAACATTTATTTTTCAAAGTAGAAAATTAAAAGAAAATGCAATCTGCTAACCAACGAGTACAAGGAAGAATATTTTTGTGCATGTTTCTATAAAACATATTGGCACTAAAAATCGATGAGAAAATGCATACTTCTAAAGTAGTAATTTTTGCAGAGTATACTTTTTACAGGTTGTCAAAAGACGGCATTCTAACGCGACTGAAGCATTCTGAGATTAAGCTCAACTTAAGTAATTTGTTCGGATCCAAAAAACGTTCTAGAATATCGGTTGAAGTGTCATTAGATCTGGAATCTAATGTGTTGTTCTCGGTGTACGACATGAGCAAACATTTCTAATAATGAAAAGGGTCGGGTGATTTGGCTTTACAAAATCATCCTGGTGCGTGAAGACACACCAAAACAACGCGAGACAGACATTGAAGCACTTGAGCGACAGATTCAATTGACAATAATAAATTTAATAACCAATAAAACCTGGCCTGTTGGATTATACAGTTTGCGAAATTTTACCTCCGAAGCCGCTTCACGAATCGCTTGCTGTTTGCTGGCTCGTCTAAGCACTCTCTGCTGAAGCAGTTTTGTGCTGTCTTTGCCCATGAACCCACACCATCTGGTCTTCTCTTGCTAAATTATCTGACGCTATTTGCACAGCCTCGCGTGGCAAACTTGCAGGATCAAACGGATCATTCTTTTGCCGTGTTGAAACAATGCGAGTCTCCCCGCCTCCGTGTGCATCTGGGGTTTGTATGTAACACGCTTCGGCAATACGTTACCGTCAAGACACCTGTACACAAACCAGATCTACGCAGAGGTCAACGCCACACGAAGGGTAAACGTTTCCCATTGTCAGGCGGATCGGAGCGCATCGCGCCCAAATAAATTGCTAATAAAAGCGAATGTGTGGGTCCCAGGAATTAATTGAGAAGAAGATTCAGTCGCTGGGGCAACCCTTCTATTCGCCTGACGTTTATACATCCCTCGCGGATCCTTCATCAGAGGAGTCAGCAGGAAACAGTAGCAGATCCGCTTCTGTTGATGTTCCAACGATCGAATCTTCTTCTTATTATTATTCTGCTGAAAACTTGCTGCCTGCTGAACCAAGCAACGGTTTTGAATTCTACCAATGATCATCTGCCAAGAGCACTCGCAAAAAAGTATATGTACCGGGAAAGCGCGGCTGAGGCGACTTAAAAGAGTAACCCTGCGTGGAAAGGATTCGTACTGAAAAATGGGGCGCCACATAACGTAATAGTAAAGGTGAGAGTTTTGGGATGAAAACCTGCGATATTGAAGTTACTCACCGGAGCAGGTTTGAGAGAACTGACGTTTCAGCAAGAATTCAAACTTGTTCCAGTGAGCAACTCAAGGTTCTCAAATGGTAATATTGTTTCTATGCCCATTGCATCTAGGACAGGTTAGGCTGACGGCCAGATAATAAGGACGATTCGGCGAGTCAAAAGGTTAGCAGCCTATCCTTATTGGAGCCTAGAAACCACACAAGGAGCAGTAGTTCGGTGAAAGATCAGTTGTATTTAGCGCCCAGCAGTCAGGAGTGGTTTGGAGAACCGAATCATTAGCATTCGGCGGGTTTTGTGTGACCTCATGCGTGAACTCCTTGCTGTCTCCTGGAACTGGCTGCACCGCAGATGCCCTGGATCAGATCGGTTCACGTTGGACATTTGTCGGGCAGCGCTGGATTCCCACTAGTCCACAACTACCGTCATGCTTGCGTGTGGAGACACACCTTAGAGGCAGGCATTCACACCCAAACAGCCATTGATTTCAATTTCAGCAGCAGTTGTTTGTCAGGTACAGCTATTCGAGTGGTGCATGAAAGAAGGAAGAGACGGTGAGGCCGACTACAGGGAATCCATTCCCACGGCAAATCAGCGCACTCTCAGCTATGTTCAAACTAACGCACCCGTGTTGTAAATAGTGGCGCCAATGACTCGAACGCAAGTCGCTCTATGGATCCGTCCACATGCTGGGTGCGTGTTGATGGCACGCCAGTTGGCGGTAGGATGAGGGCTCTACCCAACCAGTCAGATGACTCAGAAGTTCAGTCGATTTGCTAAATACTCAAGAGCACTCATTGATTGGTCCGATAGCAGTCGGACTCGACATTCTCGTGGGTTCATTTTGCCTCAAATACGCTGCTTAAATATGGCGACACACTTCTCTTCTTCCAAACTTGCTGTTGAATTTGGATTTGGGGATTTAATCGAGGCGTGCGACAAGTTCCTTATAAGCTGCATCTGGAATTTTTTGGACGTGGTATGTGGATGATACCTTCGTCGTCATCGAACATGATCATGTGCTCCCGTTCAAAGAACATCTCAACATCGTCTTCCCGGTCATACGATTTACGATGAATGAGGAAGAAAACAGCCAACTGGCCTTCCTTGATTTCCTCGTCTGCCGCAAAGATTGTAGAGGCCTAAATACACGATGCAAGTACTGAACATCAACAGCAACCACCCAATCAGCCACGCGCAGTTGCAAAAGGACGCTTTATTGGCGTGCTGAGACGCACTGAAGTGAACCGAAAGGCAAAGCTATCGAACTGCAAGATATTCGATGGGTGTTCGGAGAAAATGGCTACTCGCACAACTTTGTCAAGCAGTACATACGTAAACGAGACGAGCGACGAAATCGCACCGACCCCAGATTTTGGCGAGCAATTCAGTACGTAAAGAAAACGTATCGGAGGCCGTCGGCCGCCTTCTCCCACTGTTTGGAGTTATAGTCGCACATAGGCCGAAGCGTCAGATAATGAAATCGAAAGACCCACTGCCACAGCAAGAAAAATCTGGAGTCGTCTATAGGATTTGGTGCAGCTGTGGACAAAGCAACTACGTCGGAGAAACAGTAATGCTTCTTAAAACAAGAATTAACGAAAACGCGACAGCAGTGCGAACAAATGCGCCAATTCCCAAGCCGCGGCTCATTTGACGAGATCCTGCCACGTATTCGAATTTGATGAGGCCCAACTTATCGCGAGAGGTGGCAATATTGTGAACTACGAGTTGCTTGAATCATTGTTTACGGGCCCTCAGTCTATAAACAAGTGCAATGACCCGTCCAAACCGTACTCGGCCCTGAAGCTCCGTTTGGTCAAAGCAATTCGTCATTCAGGGAGCGCACAGGCGAACGCGTCTTCCAACAATAGCGCCAGGAGGTCAGATGGCCCAGCAATCATCACGCCCAAGTCCAGCACGGATGATAAAAGTTCAGCGGGTCACGACTCGCACGCCAGTCATTAAGCAATTAACAGACAAGCAGGCATCTATCCTTAATAGGGGGAGCCGTGAATTACCATAAGTGTGCGGTAGCATAGTGACTGTGTCCTGTAAATACTGCGCCTCCCTGTGTATGATGTACCTGTTTATGCTACTGTCGCTGATGATGGATCTGCGACGGAATTCGAAAAGTCAGATTAATTAAGTTCTTGTCACAGCGATCACATCTACTTGTTATTCTTAATTACTTCCTGGGACTAGCATTTTCCCTGTATTGGCAAGCTGTACTCAACACGACGCTGTTAACTGACGGAATGACTCGGCCCGTCGCAGGACTTAAAGTCAGACTATAACAGATCCTTAATTTGGTGGACTTTGCAACATTCCCACCGAGGTGAGATTCTTGCCACTTTGACTGTAGCCTGGCACACGTAGTGAGGATCAAGTCGCGTGTGGCTCGAATTAATCAGTTGTTTAACTTTGTGGGCTGGGAAAAGCTGCCAGACTATAAAATGATTAGTAGGAGGGGTTTGGCAGAGTTAAAAAATTCAATTGACTCATTTGGGAAAAATTCGGCGGCCTCGGTGCGTTTCTAACCAACGCCAGCAAGAGAAGACTTTAGTACAGTCAACGTTCTGCCAACTGAGCTACAAGGCCGTCAGTGGGAGCCGTGAGTTTAAGCACACTTGGGTCGATTCATCCGCTCAGCCTATTGCAAAGTATTAAATACACCAATACCGATACAGTAAGCTGACTGCCGAAGCAGGATTTCCTAGGCAACCAATGTGGAATCAACCAGATGTCTATCAGGCACACTTTATTAGTAGGAGGGCTTTGGCAGATTTCAGTAATTCATTTGGCCTTAGTTGTGAAGGACTTGACAGCCTCGGAGGAATTCGAACCCAGGCCAGCAAGGGAAGCCTTTAGTCCAGCCAACGCTCTAGCCAAGTGAGCTTTCGAGACCCCATGCGCACGGCACTGTGAACGTCGTCGCCTGGACGGTCGAACTGTCGTTGGGTCATGCTTGTAGCGTGGGAGGCCATTTCCACGGTTAGACACACTTTGCCTCTGGTGCAATAGTGGAGATGGTGCTTGAAACTACGAGATAGTTAATGTGTTAGCCTAATGTACTTTCAGAGACTGACTTGCCACAGAGGGAAGAAAGTGAACGTGTGCATTTCAGAGTTACATTCAAATGCCAGACATAAGGCGGTTAAAAAGGGCAAAAATGACTCAACGATGCACTCTTTAGAGCACAACTCCAAAAAGAAAAAACACGGGTAGTAGCAGTGTCAACAAGAATCCACGCTATTTGAGAAAAGCATCAAGTAAAAGGACAATTTTGAGAGACCGAATGGAAAGAGAGCGGCAGTGAGGAATGAGGGAGAAAAGACAGGTGGGTCGTAGAACTTACATAGTCCACGAGAAGTTGCGCACCATCGTCAATTGTCTCGCCGACTTGTGTAGCATGTCCACTAAACCGTACACCCATCCAGGTCAAAAGCGTGACGAAAAGGAGCCAAAAGGGAACGAGGAAGAAGTTTGAGACAACGTGAAGACCAATGGCATCCAAGAAACCGGTCACAACGTAGAACACGAGTAGCATAACTGCAAGGACACCGGGTGTTTTGATGTGCTAGAAGGCATGGAGAGAGAAACGAAATGTTGCCGTGTTCTAACAAATGAAAAAAACTTTCCATCAGATTTGTAAATTTATTAATTCAAACAGCGTTTCCACTGGGTTGGACTTATGGCCAAAATGCCAGACAGCTTGAACCGCCAAGAGCCCGTGTACGTAACTTATGGTTGAACGACAAAGTGGGAGGGGGTTCGAAACGTGTGATGCAGCTGAAAGACTTTCATGGATGCCCGCTCAACGATCGCATACGGAACTTACACACTCATCCAACAATGTTCATACTCCCGATCGAAACCGACAAGACAGTGAGCCTCTAGCTCAGCAGTCAGAGCGTTTGACCCCTATCCAACAGGTTACGGGCTCGATCCTAGGGTACTGCAATATCTGAGGTTAGATATGGTTGGCTGATGATGCCTAATAAGTTAGCAATGGCCATTCCAGTCTCCCTCGTCTTTTTTGGTAATCCTGCCCATAATACTAAACGATGTGCGGCTGCTGGCAGCGCTTGAGAGCGAGCTCCAAGACAGAAGAGGACGAGTGAGTTCCGCAAAGGGCCCGATGAAGCGCCAATCCACCATTGCTAATATTTCCGATAAAAACCGGAAGGGCAATGAGCCCGTGGCTCAATAGGCAGAGCGTTTGACAACCTAAATAACAAGTCCCGGGTTTGATTCCCAGCTGGCGCGACGTCTGGGGTTGGCTATGACTGGCTGATAACGACTAATAAACCGGAAATGGTTATTCTAATCTCTCTTGTTTTCTGTTGGCAATGTTTTTCAACCGGAGGACTGCCACTTTCCATCCACGGGTCAGCAGCGAGTAATTAACAAGACTGCCAGAAGAGCGTGGCTCTCAAATGACTGCCGAGATGCATATTCGAGGGTTGGTATTCCTACTCCACATAGCAAACTGAGGTGCCAAGTTTGTCGATTGAAAAATCACACCTTATTACAAAGGTCGCGTCCAGCCTTCAACTTTAGTTGCGATGCCAGTTTTGGCATAGTGCAGCGTCTCACTAGAGTACTCGCTACGGCCCTTCCGATTGTCACAGGCTCCACCTAACAAACACAAAAAATCCGTTTTTGCGTTAACAGTGCATCCCCGTGACAAGCACTATGTTCCCAACGGGCCGAGGTAGTTTCGATTGCACGACATCAACTCCAGATTAGTTGCACATCAAAGTAAACTCTCGTCCTCGTGTCAGTTAACCTCGGTGGCTGAATTACAGCCTCTTGCATTGGTACATAGGGGCGCGAATTTGACACATGTTCAACTAGACTCCCGCACTCTTCCCGATTACCTGCCGGCAGCTCCTTCGGTTGTTGACGTAATAGCATAATCTAAGGCGTAGTTTTGTCCTAAGCAATGGGGAGCTACGAGCAATTATGGATAAGCCCTCCGACTTAGCTACCTCTTGTGTTTATGCTCTCCAGCCCACAACGCAGGCTCCGCCCAACCGGTGTGCTGGCGGCGTGAGCTTCAGAATGTGGTCTGGCGAATGGATGAGTTCGTTAAATCAGTCGGTTTATGCATAAACGCTGAGACGAACAAGGAGCTCACTATATGCATCCGGAAAAGGGGCCACCACAGTGGGGGACAATTTCAAATACTCCGGAGCCCGGGGCCGCTTTGGAACCGATAGTGTTAATATTAACTCATCTTCCGAATCAATGCAGCCAGTGTTGATTTAACAATCCTCGGAACCGATCAAAAAGACCAGCATGTGTACTGGACATTTGTCCGGTCAGTCCTTCCATGTGGTTGTGAATTGTGAAGACTGCGTGTGGAAGATGAACAAACACTGGAGAGTATGGACAACCTACCGTCTGAGAATCATGCCTCGAGTGAAGTGAAGGAGAAGCAACAGGCGCTGGGACATCGCAAATAGATCTCAGGCCATAAAAGAAATACGACTGAAGTTTGGGTACGTGTGCACTCACGCATCTGCCCACTTGGAGGCACTGAAAAGGTCAAATTAAA